TCCGTCATTCGTGTACAAGAATGTGATTACATGCGCGAAGTGGCGTTCGTTGGTTCGACTGCTGCAATTGATGCCTCAGATTGCCACGTCACAATGCTCCTTGTTGCTACCCACGTAGGAGCATTGTCTCTGTGAGTAGTAGTGACAAAGCAGACAACAACCAGATACTACTGACTGGGACTTCAAATGCTGCATCAGATGTCATCCCAAACATTCACTTGCGGTCCGTCAAAGGTAGACACATAGTTCAGGATGTATTGTCACAGGCATGTTTACTTATTCTTGTTTGTCTGTATCATTGTATGTGATGCTTGTATTCTTGATGTAGCAGATGCTAATCTTTGACTGTTATTTTAATCTGCTGCAAGCCATGCTAAGATGGCTTAAGGGCAGAGCATGGCATACGATCCCTGAACCAGGTAAAGCTGTCACACACGCTTCAGCGACTGTTGTTTTGCAGAACGATCGACGAAGATAAGTGTATGTTCCACGGAGGTACTTTTCATATCCGTCAGTCTTAATATGACTGTACTTATGATAAATATTTGCTCTAATTTTGAGCCGTTAAACCTGCTATATCTTGACTACATATATATGCATAGCCTGGAGAACCCCCAAGAATTGAATTCACAATACAAATACCTTTTGTAAAGTTATGATTAGATTTTTTAAGGTTGTAGTTCAAACGCAGAAGAACAAATAATCATTCAGTGTATTTATTTCTTCAGGATTAGTCGCTATGAGGACGGAGCGCCTACAACTTCACTGAACTGCTGGGGCTCATTTTCGAGCACATCGAGTCATATCTCCAGTGACGGCTCTTACTGTTAGCCGCGAATTCCATTTCGACTATCCTACAGATCTGGAACGTGCAGAAAAAGGGCATTGAGTAAATCACCTTGGCAGGTCAAATTTTCCATATTGGTGAATTTTGTGATCGTTCCGTGTAGCGTTGACCAAAGCGTCTTAAACTACGAAGAAAATATGACTGCTGGTGTTCGAAATGAATTACAAAGTACTCAAGCATCATTATGCCGTATACTGCAATTTTGACATGCGAACGGCTGCAACGCAACTGGTCAACAGTCCATCAGACAAGAGATCCTCTTCTCTATTTGCACTTGGAGAAACCAAGTTGCCAGAAGAGGAAATTTATCTATCATGGCGACTCTAACGTTATGCT